AGAATTTACTAGATTATGTAAGCAAGCATTTACATCACTTTTAGCCCTATAACACTGTTTGGTTTTGAAATTTACTGGGAAAAAATTTCAAGTGTTTGAAAATGGTGTTTCCCCAAGGAAATGGTGTGTCTGTTCTAGTCAAATATCCAGGACTGCAGAGCGGTGAGTACAGCTGGAGACTATGGACACTATAGGTTCTGCTGCTGCCCGCAGACCTGCCTGTGGTATAAGGCGGCGCCTGACGCCTGTATCCACACTATAACCTGAAAGGTTTGGAAACCTCTCAAGGGAAGGTTTCACAGCCCTGGTTGTGTAACTCGAATCAACACCCTGGGCACTAAGGAGTTCACTCTCCTCCTTAGCTTGTGCAATTTTAACCCAGCCTAGGGTCACCGCTGAGAACTGGGAAACACGGTGTTCTGCTTGTGGTCAGGGCTGTGACAGAGCTGACTCTGGCCCGAGGGACAAGCAGGAGCACCCAGAAACAGCTGCCTCCTGCCTCTTTTGCCCAGTGGCCTGGGGCACCCCAAACCTCCCTTACCTAATCCATAAAGCCTAGACTGCTGTTCTTTGTTAAGCTCTTCCTGCAGATTTGGGGGGCTACTTCCAGGTACATGGCCCTGTGCCTGGCTGTGTTGTTCTGCTTCTGTGTGTGCATCTTATTTTATTTTATTTTATTTTATTTTATTTATAATTATAATAAAGTATGCATATATTTATGGGAATGTGTATAATAAGTTACTTGATTTTATTTTATTAATTTTTACTTTCTCAAAACAACATCTCTGTATACAGTCCAGGCCAGCCTTGAACTCCCTGTATAGTCCAAGCCGAGCTGAAACTTAAGATCTTCCTGCCTCTGCCTCTCTTGTGTCGGTACATAGGCCTGCCCCACCATGAGCCACTATTTGTGCATTTCAATCCCATGTGAGGCCAGTCTGTCCAGACAGGCGTCTGGCTTGAATGAGGGGGAAGGAAGGAGTGGGTGAGCGAGTGTTCTGGGGAAGGGACGGTGAGTGAATTAGCAACTGGTGACTAAATGAGTCATGTGAACAAATGCATGCGGAGCACAGGAGGCCTGGGCAGGAGAGACAGGGTCTCGGTGACCAGGGCTGCCCAGCCCTCAGGCTGCAGACCAGATTTCCCCACGTCTCTGGCAGCAAGAAGAGTCTGGGTAAAGTGTGGCCGGCATGTGTCCCATTAGAAGACAGACAAGGAGTTCTCTTTGTTTCTTTGTTGGGCTTTTGAGACAAGGTCTTGCCTTGAGCTCACTATGTAGCCCAGGCCAGCCTTGAACTCACTTCGATCCCCCTGCCTCAGCCTCCAGAGTCCTGAGGTTTATAGGCGTGTGCCACCACACCTAGCAAGACAGACAAGGACTTCTAAGGGGACAGACAGACTCAGGCAAGGTCTAGGGTGAGGAAGAGAAGGAGACAAGAAGGGGAGGCGCAGGGTCTTTTCAGGGGCTGCATTGTTATCCTGCTCTCAGAGATGCCTGTCAGGTGTGGCAGCTCATACCTGTAATCCCAGAACTTGGGAGGCTGAGGCAGGAGCTAGTATGCTAACTGTATGCTAGCTACATAGCAAGGCTGTCTCAAAAAAAAAAAAAAACATCCAAAAAGAAACTAGACATGGTGGCACATGCTATAATCCCACCTCTTGGGAAGCTGAGGCAGGGAGGATCACCTCGAGGCCAGCCTGGGCTACATAGTGAGTTCAAGGATAGCCAGAACTACATAGTGAGACCCTGTCTCCAAAACAAAACAAATAAACAAACAAACAAACAGACACCACATCTGTTCTAGCTGGGCCTTTGCAGGTGGAAAATCCCAGTAAAAGAGGTTTAGTGGGGGTGGGGGCAGTAACGGAAGTTATCATTTAGTTTCCCAAGTCTCCCCACCCCAACCCCCTGGGAGCTGCCTCTGGGGATGGCCTCAGCAGAGCTGCCTCTGGCCTCACCCTGAATGCCCCAAGCTGGGCAAATTGAACTGGCTCAAGATGGACTGGGGTCAAGGCCCCTGCAGGCCAGGCCAGGAACACGTGTGAATGCTGAAGTAAGATGAGCCAGTGTGGCTGCCAGATCCCAAGTAACCCTGGCTGGGCCCGAGGCTAGGCAGCTGCAGAATGGACTCAGCCCGAGGGTGGGACAAAACAAAACTTTCCAGTTTTGTTTTTGTTTTTCGAGACAGGGTCTCACTGTATAGCCCATGCTGGCCTCAAATTCACCTTAATCCTCCTGCCTCAGCCTCCCATGTGTTGGGATCACAGGGGTGCACCACCATGCCTGCAAGCCCTCCAGTTTAAAAATGATTTTTACACACACACACACACACACACACACACACACACACACACACGTACTCTCTATGGGCCCAGGTTATTCAGCTATCCCTCCCTTTTGTATTTTTTGCTGCTGGGGATCAAGTGCTGGGATTACAGGCGTGCACCACAACACCCAGCTGATAAAAACATTTTTAAAAGGCTGGGCTTGTAGCTCGGTGCAAAGACTCTGGGTTTCATCCCCAGTACTATAAACAAACAATCAAGAGCTGGGGGTACAGCTCACTGGTAGAGCACTTGCCTTGTACGTGTGAAGCCCTAACTTCAATTTCCAGCACTACCACCACCACCTAAAAAAGGCTCAGAAGCCTTGTAGTTGTGAATTGCCCCACCCACACACCCAGCCATTCAGCCCATACGGGGGGTGCTCCAAGCCCCTGCTTTGTCAACCCATCTCAAAATAATAAAATAAAGGGACAGCTGACTTCCTGCACAACCTTAAACAAGTCACTGGGCCTCTGTAGCGTCAGTCTCCTAAACTAGAAAGTAAGGGAATTAGGCATAGAGGCACACACCTGTAATCTCAGTATTTGGGAGGCTGAGGCAGGAGGACTGCCTAGAGTTTGAGGTGAGCCTGGCCTACACAGTGAGTTCAAGGCCAGCCTAAACTACGAAGCCAAGACCCTGTCTCAGAACAACAGTAACAAAAAGCGGGAGACTTGGGCCATATAGAGGATCTTTCAAGATGAAAAACACAATTCCTCTGAGTGGAAAATTTGGAGGCATCACGAGTGAAACAACCAGCTAGGAAGAGGAATTTACAGAGAGAGTGACAGGCCTTTTAGTTGAGGGAAGGTGAGGTGACCTGCCTCAGGTCACCCTGGAGGCCCAGGCCTTTGGTTCCTTGGGAGTACTACCAGTGTCTGCTCTTCGGAGAATCTGCTGTGGCCCTGTGTGAAAGCTGACCAGAGTGGACCCAGGAAGCTGGCAGGCTTCCCGTCCCGCCCCACGCCCAACTTCCCCCATCACATCCCCACCTGCTTCTGGGAAAAGCCAGTCCTGCCTCCTGCTGATGCAATGAGCTCCAGGCCAGCCTGGGCCTGCAGGACCTCTGAGCAGGAAAGAGAGGCCCACAGAGCCCTCTGCACCGCTGCAAGACTCAACTTCTATCTCCGTGGTGTTTAGATGCTCCCCCGGGGGGACTCACCACTTACTGGAAGGCTACGAGATGCACTGCTTTTGTTTTGATCATGGCGGTGACAGTTTGTTTTGTTTTGTTTGGTTTTTTGGAGACAGGGTCTTGCTGTGCAGTTCAGGCTGGCCTGGAACTCACTGTGTAGCCCAGGCTGGCCTCACACTCGCAGCGATCCTCCTGCTGGGACTGAGTGCTGGGATTACAGGTGTGCACCATCACACCGGCTTAATGCTGTCATTGCGAGCACACAAGACTTGTCACTCACCACAAACACGTCCGCCTCATCTCCAATCGGCGGAGTCCTCCGGAGGGCAAGAACCAGCTCCTAACTTCCCTCGGTCTCAGCACCTCAGGAGCACAAGGCTGTTTCCTTCCTTGCTGACCCAAAGGATGAAGAAAGGAAACGGGCTCTGTCTTCCCTGCGTGGGTTTCCCAGCCATTTCTCCCTGGTTTTCATTCCACAGTTTTGCCAAGCTCCCTCAAGAAAGCGTGGGCCACAGAAGGAGGTGCTGCGGGCAGGCCTCCAGTGCCAGCCCAGAACCCGGGGAGCTCAGCTGCCTCCTGCTCTGGGGCACTGAGTTGCCCTCACTCAGGAGAGCTGAGACTGGGTCTGAACTGAGACTGGGACCCCAGTTGAGTCTCGGAAGCAGCTGGGGGACCCTCCTCATGCTGGACAAGCTCCAGAAAGGCCTGGCTGGGGATGGAGGAGACCCAGAGCAAGATACACAAAACAGCCTCGGGACACCACTGTTGCAGGCCTTCTGGGGTTTGTGCTCGTCAGCTCTCTGCCACTGTGACAAACTCCCTGAGAAAACCAACCTCAGGGAGGAAAGGTTTACTTCAGCTCATGGCGTCACAGGGTTGGGCCCACAG